GCCGCACACAAAACCAGAAAGCTCTCAAAGATTATTCTTTATGCTTCAGCTCTCTTGCTTCTCTAGGACGTGCCTAGCACCTCTATATATAGCCACCATGATTCCCAAATCATATAAGAGAACTTTTCCAAATCTCATGAGGAAAAACCTTTTTCCTTTTTGCTCTTTTCCTTTTCCTTGTCAAACTTTTCCTTTTCCTTGTCAAACTCCAATTCTCTCAAGCTTAGAATAGTTAATTTTCCTTTTCATTCATCCTCCAATCATGTCTTTTTAAGTCTACTAGAACCCAAGCACACACATAAAATATCAACATCTTGAATCACGTCATGTATTAGACATCCACTGTATCAGACAAAAACCTTGCATCTACATTCTCCCCCTTTTTGACTATGGTTGTGAACTCAACAATTCTCACTCCAAAATACCATCACAAAGAACATCTCCATTCTCCCCAACTTGAGTCACAACATGGTCAAAAACTAATTTGGAAATACTCCCCGCTTTGCAAAACGAGGTGGATAACCTAGTGCACCATCACCAGATAACTCACCTTTCTTGACCCAAATCTTCTTGCACCTTATCCTTTCATATTTGGATTCTCTAATGAATCTGAAGCAGTTCCTCTTAATATGTTCTCTAACTCCACAATGATAGCATGTTGGAACATGAAAACTCACATCATAAGCCTTCTTCATTCGATTCCTCTCCCTCATCAATCTGAAACACCTTGGCCTAATATGCCCAACAACACCACAATGATAACAAGTGGGACGAAACATTCTTTGAGATTCACTCTCCAAGTTAGAATTTTTTGTTTCAATCTTCTGAACAACTACAGTCTCTGATGCAGACGTGACTTTTCCACCATAAATAAACACCGGATCTGATTTTGAACGTTTTCCTTTAAAACCAAGGCCATATCTATCCATTTTGCCAATACTCAGAATCTCATCCAACTGCTTTGTGCCATTATTAAGCATCCTCAAATTCTTTTGAGTTTCTTCAAGTTGAACTTTAGCTTATGATGCTTTTTCTTCTTTTTCTGATGCATATTTCTCTGCTTCAACAATTTTAGCTTCCAACTTGAGCTTCTCCTTAGTCAAAATTGAATTCTCCTCAACTACTTTAAGCCAATGTTCATACAACATCTCATACTTCGTAGCAAGTTCTTCATCATCAAAACTCTCTGCATCACTATCACTCTCTGTTTCAGACTTTGCCGTATTTGCAGATTCAGATGCAGTTGCAGGTTTTGCTGCTGATTCAGACGCAGTTGCATGTTTTCCTGCAGATTCTGACGTAGTTGCAGACTCCAATTCATAACTATCTTCGAAAGTTGTAAACGCCACCAAGTTCAACAGTTCTTCTTCATCTTCTAAATCAGTTTCATAATCATCACTAGCAACATTCATAGCCTTCTTATTATGCTTCTGTAGATTGGCACAATCAGAACGAACATGTCCATACCCTTTCCATTCAAAGCATTGTATTTTCTTTGCTGAAAATTTCACATTCTTCTTCACTCCTTCAGCTTCATATGATTTGCTTAACTCAAAAGCTTTAAGAATCCAAACAAACTCATCAAAAGCCATCTCATCAATATTACTAATAAACGCTTGCACACGAACCTTCCAATATCCATAATTAGCTGAATCAAGCAACGGTGGTTTTGTCATAGACATGCCTTTTCTATATGACTTCATCACAAACAAATCTCAGCTCTGACTTATGTCTTGAACTACTATCCTCACCCTTGATCTACTCGAAACAAGACTGAATCTCTATCGAGAACCCGCTCTGATACCAATTGTAAGTGCGGATGAGGCAATAATGTAGTGCAAAAAATAAACGATATACAAAGTTTGTTAACGAGGTTCGGTTTTTCCTACTCCCCGGGCCCAAGTCCAGATTTCGATTTCACTAGAACAAGAAAGCAAATACAACCAATTTGCAAACACGTAAATCAAGCACACCCCTTTTGAACTACCGCTCTGAACTATAACATGAAATCTTAAGGATAAATCTCTATCCTTAACTAAACTCCCCCTGATTCTAGATTTAACCAAGATAACATAATCTTGGGCTAAACTCCCCCTGAGTCTAGACTTCAATACTCCAAGTCTCTGGAGCAACCTTCACACATACGTCACACTGACGAACAAAGAAGCTTGATCACACAAGCACCAAACCGCGAAACTAAGCCGCACACAAAACCAGAAAGCTCTCAAAGATTATTCTTTATGTTTCAGCTCTCTTGCTTCTCTAGGACGTTCCTAGAACCTCTATATATAGCCACCATGATTCCTAAATCACATAAGAGAACTTTTCCAAATCTCATGAGGAAAAGTCTTTTTCCTTTTTGCTCTTTTCCTTTTCCTTGTCAAACTCCAATTCTCCCAAGCTTAGAATAATTAATTTTCCTTTTCATTCATCCTCCAATCATGTCTTCTTAAGTCTTCTAGAACCCAAGCACACACATAAAACATCAACATCTTGAATCACGTCCTGTATTAGACAGCCACTGCATCAGACAAAAACCTTGCATCTATAGCCTCTACTTTACCTTTGATGTTGTTTTTACTTTGTGTTAAGCTTCATTATCTTTACTCTTACGACTTGTATGAACTTTGTATCGATTGATCAACAGAATCAAGTCTTTGTCCAAAAAAGGGTGAATGTAAGAAACTCACTGTGTCCCAATGCATTGACCTTCACAAACTTCTCCCAACCAGACTTCTCCATGAAGTAGAATCTCGGGTTCTTGGAAATTGCTACTTCCCAAGAGCTTCCCCATTGTGTTCTTATCTTCATCTTACATGAGAGCTCTTTGTCAGAGAAGCTTCTCACGAAGTCATGAGGAATTGCTCGCTTGGTTATACAAGTAAAATGAAGAGATGATATATAATAAGACTGATATTTACAATTAGCGTGAACTTATTACTACATCTCATCAAGTATTTTGAGTCCAAAGTTTCAAATATAACCATGAACCATCACATACAAATGAAAACCTAACAAGATATTTGTAACGAACAGAGGACATATCTCATTTAAAAGTGGAGAATGATAAAATTTTCCTTACGACATAAAATTGCGAGTGAAGGGGTATGCATCAACGGGGTTATGTATTACTTAGCTGACTCATCTGATTGGGATAATTTAAAGTCTGATTATAGTATAGTTTGCTTTGATGTTAGGTATGAAAAATTCACATTTTTTTTTAGGTAGAAAGGTTCTGTAGATTGATAAACTATAAGGGCAAATTAGCTGTAATTTATTTCGAGGATGATGTGTACATTCTTTCTATTGATTCTTCGAATAAGGATTATGTCGAGCCTCATGACATTAATAGGTTGCATGAGTGGTTCTAGAGGATATGGACAAAACATGAATGGTTGGAATATGCCTACACTTGGACCGATGATGTTTTCTTCCATCGTCGTCAAGTTACTGTCACGGGAGCGACTACTTTGGGTGAAATAGTTTTTTTCGATGAGCGATTATACACCAGAACAGCCGTTTTTGTTTTCTACTTCAATCCCGAAAGGGAGACTCTCCACTCTTTCATCGAAGTTGTAATAATTTACTATATTTGCGTTAACGGTTGTTTTGAAATGCTCATGTATCTTGTAAACAATTTCTGATATTAATATATCTGATTTGCATGGAAAAAAAAAACAACGAGAGCAAACAATCTCTTCTCCTCTTTATCGTCCATACCACCCAAACCCTAAATCACCTTCAATTGAATCTCCTTCAATCACCTTTAATCGAATCCAGTCTCTCTTGCATCCTACTTGAACCTTCAATTGAATCTCCTTCACGTCTCTCCTTTGATGGAATTTCTAGATCTAGCCACTTTTAACAGTTTTACTTCTTACTTCGTTAGATAAGGTTTTCTTACACCCACACATATTTATACTACTACTTAATTGTCTCATTCTTAAACCTAATACAACAAGTAACCATTAACATATATATGTGCCTTCATTAACTTCTGGCCCAAAGCCTTCTTTCTTCCTCCTACGACAAAATACTTTCTTCACCACACTTCTTCTTCTCTTGTCTCACGATCTCTCGTCGTCTTGACCAACCAAAATATTAGGTTATTACTTTAATTTATAAATTAAAAAGTTTGATTATAAAAAAAAATTTTGTAAAAACTTATTATATATTTCTTCAATATGGCTAAGATTTTTTTTAATTTTATCTAAATTTTTTAACAAAATTAGATATGATATCTTTCATTTGACACATGTCTATCTTGGAAAACAAGCTTTATATAATAAAATTCTGACCAATTTTAGAGGTTTATTACGTATTACTTGTAACAAGCATTGCATAGCATGCATTAGAAAACATTGTGCTGTAATCCCAAGAAAAATAAACAACAAAGAAGGAAATTTTACCAACACAATAAGGTTTGAAAAAATATTTTTGTTGGTTGAAAAATATATGACACACACTATCTAATATATATAGATGGAAGTATTTACAATCTATTTACTTTAAAGATTAATGATGGATTTTGATTAAATAATTTTGTATTTACAATAAGATAAGATTCTCTTTTTAATTTGCAAAAAATGATAATTTTCTTTTTTATATTATTTTGACACGTGTTAACATCTCATCGATGGACTTAACACTGCACGTGTCATGATTTTGTTAGGGCAACATTATAGGGGGTATCTCCAGATTTTCAAAGAAAAGATCTTATGCAAGATACCCCTATAATGTTGGTCTATGACTAACATTGAAAATAAAAGTTTATATAATAAGATATAATTTCTTTCTATGTTTTCAATAGGGTAATAAAAGTGAATATCCAAATTTTCATTAAAGATGGATTTGTTTCTTCATTTTTAACTTTATATCTTTCTTTATTTCATAAAAAAAAATCTACTATAAATGTGAAATTCTTTACTCTAACATTTCATATATCTTCATTTTCAATATCCTTACCTCTTAAGTATTGCTCCCTCCCATCGAATCTAACTATGGCAGATTGGTCGTTGCTTCCCACAGACTTACTAGAACTAATTGTTGGTCGTTCTGAGACATCTTTCGAGATTGTTCTCTTACGATCTGTCTGCAGCTCATGGCGGTCTGTTGTTCCTTCGCCACGTGATTCTCCCGGCTTAGGCATCAAAACTCATATCCCTATGTTTGCCTACAATGGCAACCACCACCGCTTGAATGGAAAACCTAAGTATCGTACCCATGATAAGTGCTGCACATTAAAAAAGGTCCCAATTTATCTCGTGAGATTCAAGACTCCGTTTGGTGATGATTATTTATTGACAGAGATACATGAAAGAAATATTGGGGAACCGATGTACTTGTTATCGCCATTAGTAACCTATGATGACGAAACGCTCAAAGAAACTCTATCGTTTAACTCTCTTAACACTCGAATTCTCCCTTTGTGCTATTACTACAAGGTTAGTTTTCTCTAATAATATACCCAAAAGATTTTTTAAAGTTATAGAATGTTCTTATAACTTAAAACATTAAGGTGTTGAATGTAAGAGCCAACGTAGGTCAAAGTTGGTGAGATTTGATTTATCGAACATCACATGCATGTCAATATACTACTCTTTAATTTAATTAGGTAACGGTTGAGTTTCATTTGACGATGTCATTGTTTAACTTTTTTGTGATAATCTTGCTAAAGTACATGTTTGGAATTCAATGTTGTATTGCCTTGATATATTACCCATAAAAAATGCACAAGTTTGTATTTTATCTTTGCCTTGGATTCTCATATGCAGATAAACGATGAGACGTATATTAACTTTCTGGTGGGGGTTTACAGATATGAATGGAGCATTCCTTCCAAACAATATGAATGGAAAATTCGTTCCAAAAAAGTTGAATATCTTGAACTGAATAGTGATGATTGCAAAGATTTCATATTGCTAGCTGATATAAAAGGCGACATGATAATATTTAGCAGCCTTGTGATGAGGTGGACGGAAATTTTTGTCTCTCCTGAGAAATGTCGAGATATGGTTTCGTTCAAAGGCAAGTTTTATGTGGTTGATACAAGTGGATTGGGACATGTATTTGTAATCGAACCCTCTTTGGAAGTTTCTAAGATCCCATCAGTCATACGGTCGACTCACAAGTCTACAAAAGAGGCTCTAGTGAAGTCGGGAGAAGAGTTGTTGCTAGTGCAACAGTTCACACCAGGTCAGTCTCATGAAAAAGTTAGGTATGCATATTTCCCAGAAGGAGAGTCTCATCCTGAACATATGTATACATGGTTTAGAGTCTTTAGGCTGGATGAAGAAGGTGGGACGAGGAAGTGGGTTCAAGTTGATGACTTGAACGACCGTGTGATATTTTTTGGAGGTTGGACGAATCTCTGTTGCTCGGTACAAAACCTGCCAGGTGCAAAGGATAACTGCATTGTGTTCAGTGATTCGGATAGAGGTATTATTGAAGAGAATGAATCAATCCTTGTGTTTGACTTAAGAACAAAAAGGACTAGTTTTGCTTTAAGTGAATGCAGAGGCTACATGGGCGCATTTGGTGCAAATATTGAATCTCTGGTATCTTGTGGAGTTATGACAATGTCAAACCCAGAAACAAGCATATATGATTTAATTAGTGATTCCATATTCCAACTGGCTGACTAAAGAGAAAGTGTCACGAAAAATATTAGAAAGCTGTAATCTTTCTAACATTGTTTAGTAGATTAAGGTTCGGTTCAATAAATTTGCTTTGGATTAAGTTGAAAAATTTGACTCAGTTTGTTATTTTATTAGTATAATTTATAAAAAGACTCAATCCGTTTTTTTTTTAATTAGTCAACTATTGATCCAATACTCACTAACTAGCCTTTGATGTTGTTTTTACTTTGTGTTAAGCTTCATTATCTTTGCTCTTATGACTTGTATGAACTTTGTATAGATTGATCAACAAAATCAAGTCTTTGTCCAAAAAAAGGATAAAAGATATACTTATATACTTATGTCCTCACTTTATTCATTGCCTCCAAAAGAGCTGCAACAAGAACCTCTCTTTCTGTGTAAAATCTGATTTTTGTACTAGTTCTCTAATCTATTCCTCACTTCACCATAAACGCAAATTAGCAATAATACTTATAAACAAGCTTCGATTACTTTTAATACTACATTATCTTTGTGTTTACATGTTTTCACATAATTTATTTACTAAAATCCTATATATATATATAAGCTTATCAAAAAATAAAGAATTCGTAATCGATCCATTTGCTTCATGCTATATGAAACTCAGGATCACTTGTTATTCGACTGTAACTACGCTTCAGAAGTTTGGCAAGTAATAGCTAAGGGTCTATTCAAAACGAACTACATAACCAACTGGTCAACATTATTGGAGTATGTTTCGCAGTCCCACCAAGACCGTATTGATAGTTTCCTCTACAGATATGTGTTCCTAGCAGTCCTTTATGCAATATGGAGAGAACAAAATGGTAGAATTCATGGAGAATCCCCGAACTCAGCCGCACGACTAATTGGGTGGATAGACTTCTATAAATTGAAGTACCACACAAAGATCAGCTTATGGCCATTCAGAATCTCGGAGATTGCCGCTACAACGACGGTTTCCAGCGATGGCTTCTTTCTCGTAGTTAACTTCTTTTTAAAGAAAAATTCAGCTTCAACGATCAATCATATGTTGCACTAGTGTACAAACGCTATATTTTTTTTTGAATATAATTTAACATTAAATTCAAAAAAAAAAATGTGCAAAGCCATGTTAGCCAGATCACATATCGATAACATAATGATCCAGATTACTCAGCCCACAAGTTTTGAGTTTATTATTTACTACACTATTATTCTATTACAGAAAAAAATTATTTTATTTTGCATTTGTATAGATGCCCGTCTACACTATTGTTTTGTATAAGAATGTAAATATCATTTCAAAAAATAAAAAGTTTAGGATGTGAATCCTAATTACATGGTCTCATGCCAAAAAAGGTAAAAATATGGAAGCAGAAACATTCGATCTTCAAATCATCACTAAAACAAAAACGGTAGAACTTATAGCAAGGGTATAAATTGGGCTCGATAAAGAGACGGGAAAACGGCATATTCCTCCACAATATACATGAACTTGACCAATATTTGAATTTCCTACACAAACAATTTAAATCCGGACGAAACCTTACTGTTCCGTCAATAAATACTGACTAGGATGCCACGTAATGCCCTAAGCAAAACATGGCAATAAGCAAGAGCAGTAAGAAAAAGATATAAAATGACGAGTTACAAAAAAGGTGAGGCGGAAGTCCCTTCAACGTGAGCAACGAAGTGGAGCTACACGAGCTTAAGTCGGCAGGAAATATATTATTTTATCTATAATTGACCTGTTACTCCATATAAGAGTGTTATATATATGATCATTCGCAGTTGTAGTGGAAGAAGAAAATGTAGACTTCGGTTAAGTCAATGTATATCTTCTTTTAAGACAGTACGTACGATTTAGAGTTAAGGGAAATAGAGAGTTGAGCAATTGTCTCAAACCCAAGTGTGAGCAAAAAAAAGCTCATCTCAATTCTCAAAGCCTTTAGTATCAAGTTTTGGTCAATCTCATCACCTTTCTTTACACATGCATTGATGCATATTACATTTCCTAATTCCTAGGGCATAGATAAGGAGATGACAACACGTTTTATAAAGTTGAAAATAGAGCTAACAATAGGAATTTCTATCATTACCAAAAAAAAAATAGGAATTTCTATTAACTCTATTTTCTCCGAACTTTTCTCTTTACTATCAAAAGGAAAAAATATAGATTTACATTCATCTTGTTTTTATACTGTGATTCCTTAGACATGAAGATCATTCCAATCATACTCATCGCGATCATAACATCATTTCCGGCTTCGATCAAAGTCGTTGATGCCAAAAAGGAGCTACCATTTTGCAATCTAGAGCTTCTAGCTTGCGTCCAACCCTTTTTAGTTTTTTTTTTTTTTTTTTTTTAATAAAATTTCTGGTATTATATATATCAAACTTTAGAGATTACATAAAGAGTAGGTGCCACAACGACAACGATCTCCCCGGTGAACAATTCCGGTACACGAACCAAAGTATCCGAATATAGTAAACGAAAAGAACTAGAGATAGAGTCCTCTAAACCATAACCCGAGCAAGCCTTGAAATTTTTTGATGTGATTTCTAGCAAGGCAAGTGTTTCTGATTCTCCTATCAAGAAGGGGGAACAAACCTTCGACCGGCGTGCGCGACCCGGTGAAGATGCGAGCATTCCTTTCATGCCAAAAAGTATAGATTACCGCTTGAGCTGTGAGCAGCTTTAGAGGCGTCATTTTAGGATCATGAGTTGGTGATTTCAACCATTGGAGGAACCTGTCCCAAGTGTTAAATCCTGAGAACGGAAGCTGTAGTTTACCCAAGCACCATCTCCACAAGTCGTAACTATAAGGACAGTTTAAGAAAAGATGTTCCCTAGTCTCATAGTAGATCTCACAGAGGAAACAAGAGTCATCTTCCAAAATTCCCCAGTTTCTAAGTCTCGATAGAGTAGGAAGTCTATCCAGACAACATAACCACAGGATGAACGAGTGTTTAGGGATAGAACCTGAGAACCAGACTTGGTTGTGCCAATTGACCTCTGGCGAAGGCGGCTTGCAAGCCTTCCATGTATCAGAGAAGCTGAACTGATCTTGTGAGTTCCCATTACTACCCATCCAAAGGTAAGTATCTTGCTCATTTTCATTGATAACAATTTTTGCGAGGTGGCTTAGGAGGAGTTCAGCATTATTGCTGCGGGCGCCTCTGAAGATCCAACCATCAGTAGTTCTGGCCTTGGCCACAGTAGCGTCAAGAGGGAGACCTAACCTTTGGTGTTCTTGTGGTCCCAAGAAAGAAAACAAATCTCCAAAAGGAGTCCAATTATCAAACCAGAACGAACAAATCTTACCATTTCCAATTTTGCAAGAGAGGAATGTTTTCGCGATGCTTCGAAGCTTTAGTAGCTGCTTCCACATCGAGGAACCTTGACTGTTAAGATTGAGGTTCCAAAAACACTTCCTTCTTAGCTTGTGTTTTCTACACCAAGCCACCCATAAGGAACCAGAAGCAGAGAACAAATGCCAAATAAGCTTCAGGCCAAAGATTTTGTTCCAGGATTTCAAGTCCTTGAGGCCAAGACCTCCTTCTGATTTAGGAGAGCATACTGTTTTCCAGCTAACTTTAGCTTGCTTTGGGACCTCTATCGAACCAGACCACAAGAACCTTCTGCACAATTTCTCTAGGTCCTTAATGCACTTGGTAGGTAAGATGAAAGCAGCACACCAGTAAGCAATGATGTTTTGGATGACTGAGGTAAGCAATTGCAATCTCCCTGCGTAGGAAAGGTGCTTAATCTGCCAAGAGTGTAAACGTTTCCTCACCTTTTGGATTAGAGGCTCACAGTCAGCTCTGGAGAGAGGATTAGGCAAGAGAGGAAGGCCTAAATATCTGACCGGGAGAGTTCCTGGAGGGAAACCAAATCTTGAGCTCATAACAGCCTTATCAAGGGGATTGGAACCAGCCAAGAAGATCTCAGTTTTGTTCTTATTCATAATGAGACCAGAAATATTGGAGAAGTATTCCAGAAGATTCACTATTGCCTGTAGGGAAGAGGACTCTCCATCAAAGAACAACATTACATCATCCGCAAAGATGAGGTGAGTAACAGCCGGGTTCACTGCCTTGGGGTGATATCCAATCAGTCCCGCTTGAAACCTCAAATCCAACAATCTTGAGAATATATCCATGCCAATAACAAAAAGGTAAGGGGAGAGAGGATCACTGAAAGACCCTAACCCGAATTTTCAAAATTTTCATTCAAGTTCAAAGATACTTTCGATAAAACTTAACATAACCGCATAAGATCGATAGACAAGTCAATAATGCGAAACAGATTACTTGAATTCCAAACGAGGTTCTAGTACAAACGGCAAGTTCGCTAATAAGCTATTACATCGTTTTCAACACTAGACCGAATTATTAAAACTATCCCAATCCACCATCCTTCCCTTTCCTTGCCTTCGTCTCACGAGCTGGTTCAGCCACAAGAATTACTTCCATTTCCTGCATCCAAAAGGAGGCGTAAGCAAACGAATTTGCTTAGTGGAGCGGTCGTCCCGTCACACTTGGCACAGTCAAGAAATCACATTCATTTATATCGATTCAAGAAGTTAAACAAGCAAGCCATAAACATAACATACCGTCGAGATAATTATCGGAACCACCATCGATTAACTATCAAGACATTATCGCGATAACACATAAACCATGACAAGCAAGAAAACATCAATGAATCAATCAATGAAAACGACTCAAGACTCGGCCACGGTCACGCTCTCACCTTTCTCACACGGATTCACTTTCCGACACCTCTTGTCGCTTACTCGTCCGATCGGATCCAATAAACTCTCGCAAAGCACCCGGATCTACACCAAGAGCACAGATCTAACTCTTTTACCGACAATACTCGAAGAACAATCGATAAACACCAAGTTTACACGATACTTACCAAGATTCTCGAGAATTACTCGATCTACTCTCGATCTTTCTCACGGATTCTCGACAAACACTTAACTTTCTCGATGAAAAGGTTGCCGATCGCCTTTAGGGTTCTTACGCGTGAAAACGCTAACAAATGGTCGGCAGGTCTTTATATAGGCTCGAGAAAATTCCCGATCCGTCGAGAATATTCGATGGAATATCCATTATTCCGATCTTCTTCGAGATTTTATCCGATTCTCCAACAACCATCGAGAATATCCAATCCCACGAATCTCGGCTTACCAACACAGGCGGGTTACCGAATCGGATCGACAAAATATCGAGCGGATTTTCGCATCACCGACAGCCACTCGATAGAGTTCCGACAACCAGTCCGATAAACACGCAATGGTCGATACTCTTCCGACAAACTTGTCCGAAAATCTTTTATTGTCCGAACAAATCAGAAGATTGTCCGAACACTCAACTTTTCCTTCGAACATTCGGATTTCCGACAGCATACACCGATCTTTCTCGATAAACTTCGATCGTACCGATAAATCCTCGACAAATTGATCAAATCTTCAATAAACTTATGTTTCCTCGACCATTGGCACGTCCAGTACCGGCTAGGATTCTTCGGAGACGGGCGTTACAGCTCTCCCCCACTTAGAATAGATTCGTCCTCGAATCTAAACTTTCTCTTTCGAGACTTCTCGTTTCTCAAACCATTTCTTGAAATTTACCCTCATTACTTCCTCCGGTTCCCAAGTAGTCTCTTCTTCTCCGTCACAATCCCACACAACTTGAATCAACTTAACCTTTTTCTTTCTTCCAGCTCTTGACTTCCTCCCAATAATTCGAACTGGTCTTCCAACAATAGTCATATTCGCTTGCAAATCCGCTGGAAGCTCCGTTGAGACATTCTCTCGAGGTGTTATGCATTTCCTTAGCATAGACACGTGAAACACTTTGTGAAATGCTTTCATTGCCGGAGGCAATTCAAGTCGATAGGCCACTGCTCCAATTCTTTCCAGAATTCGGTACGGTCCCATGTACCTCGGAGTTAACTTTGTGTTCAAGCCTGAACGGTCTTTACCCTTATAAGTAACCGTCTTAAGGTAAACCATGTCTCCCACCTGAAATTCCAACTCTCGCCGACGCTTATCGGCATAACTCTTTTGTCTATCTTTAGCTTCTTTCATTTTAGCCTTCAACACTTTGATCTTCTCGGTCGTTTCTTGCACAAAGTCCCGACCATAGACACTTCGCTCCCCAACTTGTGTCCAACACAGCGGTGTTCGACAAGGCCTACCATACAACGCTTCATATGGTGACATTCCAATACTCGCTTGATAACTATTGTTATAGGTAAACTCTGCCAAATGCAAGTAACTCGTCCAGTCTCCACCCCAATCCAGAACACTCGCTCTCAACAAATCCTCAAGTGTTTGGATTGTCCTCTCGGACTGTCCGTCCGTTTGTGGATGATGAGCTGTGCTCATGTTCAATCTTGTACCAAATTGCTTTTGAAGAGCTTTCCAAAACCCAGCAGTAAACTTGGAGTCACGATCCGATACTATACTCGCCGGCACTCCATGATACCGAACGATATTCTCCACGTAAAGCTTTGCAAGCTTCTCGGTTCCATCGGTCTTATTCATCGGCAGAAAATGTGCGGACTTTGTTAGTCGATCGACAATAACCCAAATAGAATCTTTCTCCTCGCACATAGGCAATCCGGTAACAAAATCCATGGCTATCATATCCCATTTCCACTCGGGAATTGGTAAACTTTGCAACAGTCCTCCTGGAACTTGATGTTCAGCATTAACTCTTTGACAAGTCGAACAAGAAGCAACCCATCTAGCAACATCCTCTTTCATCCCTCGCCAATGATAATATCTCTTCAAGTCTCGATACATTTTTGTTGATCCCGCATGTATCGAAAACTTAGACTGATGTGCTTCCTTAAGAATTTCTACTCGAAGTTCCTTATCCTTCGGAACGCACACACGGCCCTTTACCAATATCGTCCCATTGCTCGAAGTCTGGTACTCGGTCTTATCATTCTTCGATAACTTAATGAGTTCCTCATCTTTTTCTTGTGCTATCCGAACACGAGTCAATAAATCGGCTTGATCCGCGGCACCCAAACCCAGAGGCTCTAACTCTTCCGATATCGCTTCCAAGCGTAAGGTACCAACCATGTCAACCAAACTTTCCATCTCCTTCTCAGTACTTGAAGCAACTCTTTTCCGGCTTAACGCATCGGCTACAAGGTTTGCTTTACCCGGATGATATTCGATATCGACATCGTAGTCGGCCACTAACTCCATCCATCTTCGCTGCCGCAAGTTCAACTCCGGCTGGGTGAAAATATACTTGAGACTTTTGTGGTCCGTGAAAACTTGAACTTTCCCACCGTAAAGGTAAGAACGCCAAATTTTCAAAGCAAACACGATCGCCGCCATTTCAAAGTCGTGAGTGGGGTAATTCGCTTCGTGCTTCCTTAGCTGCCGAGAGGCATAAGCGATTACCTTACCATGCTGCATTAAGACACATCCAAGTCCCATCCTTGATGCATCCGTATAGACCACATAAGGTTTATCCGGTTCCGGCAACGCCAATACCGGTGTACTTGTAAGCATCTTCTTAAGCTCCGAGAAACTGTTCTCACAATCTGTCGACCACACGAATGGTACATCTTTCCCTGTTAACTTTGTCAATGGCTGCGCCATGCTCGAAAATCCTTTAACAAAACGTCGGTAATACCCAGCCAAACCAAGAAAACTTCTTATCTCCGATGCATTTTGAGGTCTCGGCCAATCCGCAATTGACTTGATCTTCTCACGATCGACGGACACTCCTTTATCTGACACCACATGCCCCAAAAATCCAATTTCTTTTTGCCAAAAGCTACACTTACTTAGCTTGGCGAACAACTTATGTTCTCTTAGCTTACACAACACTTTTCTCAAATGCACGCCATGCTCTTCCGGATTCTTCGAATAAACTAGAATGTCATCAATAAAGATGATAACAAACTCGTCCAAGTATTCCCGGAATACATTGTTCATGAGCTTCATGAAAGCTGCGGGAGCATTAGTCAGCCCGAAAGGCATTACAACGAATTCGTAATGCCCGTACCTTGTCCGAAAGGCCGTCTTACTTATATCCGACTCATCGATCGGAATTTGATGATAGCCCGAGGCTAGATCAATCTTCGAGAAACAAGTAGCACCTCTAAGTTGGTCCAACAACTCGTCGATCCTCGGAAGAGGGTACTTATTCTTCACCGTCACTCTATTCAGGCCGCGGTAGTCGATACAAAGTCTGAAACTTCCATCCTTCTTCTTTACAAAGAGAACCGGTGCACCCCAAGGTGAACTGCTTGGTCTCACAAATCCTTTGTCCATTAGCTCACTAAGCTGCTTCTTCAATTCGGCCATTTCCGCCGGAGCCATCCGATACGGTGACTTAGAGATTGGAGCTGTTCCCGGCTCAAGTTGAATCGTGAACGGATCCGAACGTATCGGTGGCAAACCAGACAACGCTCCAAACACGTCTTTGAAATTTTGCACCACCGGAATATCCTTAACTTCTTGCTCGGTTCCCACTTGCACCGTAGAGATTGTCGCCAGGTACGCTTCATACCCTTTCTGAATCATATGCTCCGCTTGAACTGCAGAAACAATCAAGCTTCCGGACGATGGTTTGATTCCCCGATACACCAGTAAACCTTTAGGCGTCTCGAATACAACTCGTCCACGGCGACAGTCCAAATGTGCTGAATATTTGCCAAGCCAGTCCATTCCCATGATTACATCATGATCATCTATGCGGCAAATCACCAAGTCCGTGGGCATATCAACTCCACATATCATCACGGAGATGTTCCGGACCTTTCCATAGGTCATCATCTTTTGTCCACCGGCTGCTTTAACAAGACCAAAGTCTTGTCCGGGTTCCTTTTGAAACCCACCTTTACCAATCATTTCCGGGGACACGAAGCAACGTGAAGCCCCGGAATCAAACAATACATGGGTTTCCACACCACCCATGAGAATGGTCCCTACACATTTACCTAAAATGCTAAGAACCCAACCCGACAAGCAACAGGCAAGTTAACAAAAACATTTGCTAAGGTAAGTGACAAGACTTACCCGTGATCGGACGTGAAGTGCTTGCCTCATTCACATACTCCTCGGACACCGAGTAAACCCTTGGCATGATTGCTGGCCTCTTAGGCGGTGGTGGCAACGCCTCACTTGGCCGCTTCCCAGCTAGCTGCATAAGCTTCGGACAATTAGGCCTCAAATGACCAGCTTCACCACAATTGAAACATGACCGCGTATCCGGCTGTCGATCCCTTTCCGGACACTCGCTGATCCGATGATCCTTGCTACCACAACGGAGACATTGTCCCGAAAGGAGCCTGCACGTACCAGAATGCATCTTCTTGCAAGTCGGACACACTTGTTTCTGTCCCGATGACTTTCCTTGGAAATTTTTTTTCCCCCAATTCTTCTTCTGTCCGCCACCTTGGTCAGATTTGCTTTGCGGAGCAGGTTGAGTTGACACTTGAGAATTCGACAACTTTGCCTTCTCCTCAAGGCGAGCTTCAAGCAATGCTGCCTTTTCCACCAACTCGGATAGAGTCGCATAATCCCGGATGCTACAACCGATCTGGAGATCAACATCCAACGCACGCATGAATCGGCGAATCTGGGCTTGCTCGTCATCCATGTCTCGGCCACCAAACTTCTTAAGCCGGTCAAACTCCACTTGCAATTCCCTCACCGTCATTGATCCTTGACGCAAGTCCAAAAACTCCGACTCAAGCTTGTTGCGAGCTTCTTGCGGAAAATACTTAGCGTGAAACAAATCACGAAAAGTTTCCCACGTACAGTTCGGATTCGCCATCCGATTAGACACATCAGTCCACCAAGTATCCGCCTCCTCAGCAAGGTAGTGGGTAGCAATGTCTTTCCGATACGCAATCGGACATCGAACAGAGTTGAAGTTTCTCTCCAACCGAGTCCTCCATTCAACCGCCTTGATAGGGTCAGCACCACCGGAGAAGTAACTCGTCCCCAACTTCATCATGTGATCCATCACAGTCAAG